GTAGGTAGGTAGGTTAGGTAGGTAGGTAGGTAGGTAGGTAGGTAGGTAGGTAGGTAGGTAGGTAGGTAGATAGATAGATAGATAGATAGATAGATAGATAGATAGATAGATAGATAGATAGATAGATAGATAGATAGATAGATAGATAGATAGATAGATAGATAGATAGATAGATAGATAGATAGATAGATAGATAGATAGATAGATAGATAGATAGATAGATAGATAGATAGATAGATAGATAGATAGATAGATAGATAGATAGATAGATAGATAGATAGATAGATAGATAGATAGATAGATAGATAGATAGATAGATAGATAGATAGATAGATAGATAGATAGATAGATAGATAGATAGATAGATAGATAGACAGACAGATAGAGAATCTACTGTAATCTATTGACAAACACCTCTCAGTTGTGTATTTTGATCTCACCACAAACTTTGATCATATTGATACCGGGCGCCTGAACTTCAAAGGTCTTGAGAGCCCCACCGTGGTACTGGATTTAGCTACAAGCAACAACAACAACAAAACCAGCTCCTGACTCTTTCTTCAAAATTTTCCATTATTATATTTTAAATTCATTTCTCCTTTATTAGATGTTAAATTTACAAATAATTAAAGTTGTAATTTAGAACTTTTTAGAGCAGCGGTTCTCAACCTGTGGGTCGCGACCCCTTTGCAGGGGCCACCTAAGACCTCAGAAAACAAATATTCACTAAAGTTATGAAGTTATATTACATTTTTAAAATATTGTGTATATTTTAATGTTTTCTGAGATTAGCTGGGGGTGATTAAACAGGTAGGGGCCTCAAAGCTTTAAATATCTAAGGGCCTCATCAAGTCTAAATTCGGCCCTACACTACCCCCATACCCCAGGAAAAATATTATATTAGTATAAGTGTCCCCTCATACTTTTCCCAAAGCGACACACACACACACACAGACACACACGAAACACACACTCATATATACACACACATATATGCACACACCCACACAAACGCGCGCATCTGTTTAAGTCCGGACCCCTAGTCTCCACACTCCTCCACCAAAAGAATGGTCCTATTCACGTTTCCCAGCCCATCTAGACACTGGCTGACCTTTCATTCATGTTTTCTTAGACTGTTCTACGTCAGTGGGGTGTCACTCCGTCTTGCCTCCAATTACATCAGCGCCGATGTCGCGTGTTCTATACTACACGACGACACAGCTTTTAACGACCCCAAAACATCTAGAACTGGCCCTAACCCAAACTTTCCATGTCAAAGCCCTAGCCTAGGTCCCACGAGAGACTCTTTTTGAAGAAAACAGTACAACGTGACACCCCTCTGACCTAGACCAGACTGGGAAAGTGTGTAGATGGGCCGGGGAACGTGAATAGTACCCAAACAATAAATGTATATTATTTACAAGGGGTGACAACAAAGGCGTTATCAGGACAGACAACTAGTCAGAGTTGATGATTACCGCAGTGGTCTCCCTCTAAAGTGAGAATTCTCTCCCGAGGCAACTATTCGCGATTCTGTCATTTCAAACTTTTCGCTCACTCTTTGCTACAATACCCTCCACGCTTCTTTGCATAAGTAAAACACTACAATACACCCTACGCTTTTCTGCATAAGTAAAACACTACAATACACCCCACGCTTCTCTGCATAAGTAAAACACTACAATACACCCCACGCTTTTCTGCATAAGTAAAACACTACAATACACCCAACGCTTCTCTGCTTAAGTAAAACACTACAATACACCCCACGCTTCTCTGCATAAGTAAAACAAACTAAAAAAGTAAAGATCCTCTTTTCGCCTTAGGCACATCGGGCATTTAAGAAGATCACCTATATTATTACAGACCCAACTGGCACTAGGTGGGTAATATTGTCAGCATTACATCGACCTCTTTTCTTCCCTAGGACATGCATCCTGGTACCCATTTTAGGCTGGGTCGACCTGCGACGCCCCATACCATGATAAAAATCCACGCAGCCAGCACTGGGTTTCGATCACGGTATGTTGGAATTACGAGTCGGATTCGCAACGCTTAAGCCATAAGCGCTTAAATGACAAGGGGGCTTTCCCACAATACCTTTCCTGCGGGGGGGGGGGGGGGGGACTGACCTTTTTTCTTCGTTCTTTCCCGTCTTCCCTTACTATATTTTTACACTCTCTGGCCCCTCACTCAACGCCAAGAAAAAACAAGAGCAAAGAGACCGTATTTTTCATAAAAAGCACTAAATCCAGACGGTAATGTTTTGCTAGTCACGATAGGATATACATGTTCGCGGGTGCCCGAGACATTCTTGACCGAACCTTACTGTGCTAAGATATCACTGATGGTTTAGAGAAAAAGCTGTCCAGGAAAGCTGTGGATTTGACGCTATCCTTGTCATCATCAATAGTGACGTCGTCGACGAAGTCACAGTGGGTCAAAGGTCTCTGCCGACTAGAAGTTTCCGGGACACACAGGTCTTTGGTGACTAGAAGTTACCGTGGACCACGGTCTCTGTTGACTAGAAGTTACCATGCGCCACAGACAAGTTACAGTAGGCCACAGATCTTCGTTGACTAGAAGTTACAGTGGGCCACAGATCTTTGTTGACTAGAAGTTACCGTGGACCACAGATCTTTGTTGACTAGAAGTTACCATGCGCCACAGATCTTTGTTGACTAGAAGTTACAGTGGGTCAAATATCTTTGTTGACTAGAAGTTACAGTTGACCATAGATCTTTATTGACTAGAAGTTATCGTGGACTACGGTCTCTGTTGACTGAAAGTTACCATGCGCCACAGATCTTTGTTGACTAGAAGTTGCAGTGGGCCACAGATCTTTGTTGACTAGAAGTTACAGTGGGCCACAGATCTTTGTTGATTAGAAGTTACAGTGGGCCACAGATCTTTATTGACTAGAAGTTACAGTAGGCCACAGATCTTTGTTAACTAGAAGTTACCGTGGGCCACATATCTTTGTTGACTAGAAGTTACAGTGGGCGACATATCTTTGTTGACTAGAAGTTACAGTGGGCCACAGATCTTTGTTGACTAGAAGTTACCGTGGACCACAGATCTTTGTTGGCTAGAAGTTACCGTGGACCACATATCTTTGTTGACTAGAAGTTACCAATGAACACAAATGTTTGTTGACTAGAAGTTACCGTGGACCACAGATCTTTGTTGACTAGAAGTTACAGTGGGTCAAATATCTTTGTTGACTAGAAGTTACTGTGGGTCAAATATCTTTGTTGACTAGAAGCTACGGTAGACCACAGATCTTTGTTGACCAGAAGTTACCGTGGACCACATATCATTGTTGACTAGAAGTTACAGCTGACCACAGATTTTTGTTGAATAGAAGTTAACGTTCACCACATACCTTTGTTGACTTGAAGTTACCGTCGACCACAAACCTTTGCTGACTAGAAGTTACCGTTGAACACAGACCTTTGTTGGCTATAAGTTACCGTTGAACACATACCTTTGTTGACTAGAAGTTACCGTTGAACACAGACCTTTGTTGACTAGAAGTTAACGTTGACCACATATCTTTGTTGACTAGAAGTTACCATAAGCTGAGGGCCACTACTGGTTAGCACTTACCACTGCCGCTTTTATCACACAATTGTCATGGGTAGGGCTCTAGTGATGGCCACCGTCGATCAGTGTTCACACAAAGCCACTATTATGTTCAGCTATTATTAAACAAACAAAACAAGTACTCACATCTACCTGGGGATCAGCGTCTTCTCGTATTTCCCAGTAAACTAAGGTTCCTGTTCTTACCTTCAGAGATGCAAGATTTCCCAAAGTCACTGACACGGCAAGACATTAAATAAATAACAGACTAGATGGTGGAATTAACGTGATGTTTTTGAATAAACATGCACTGAAAGTGACAGGTAATGGTAGTGGCAAGAAACAGCCACAACACCAACTGATGATGAAATTATATGTGTCCTTATCGAAGTACACACAAATAAAGAGAAAGGGAAACACTTGAGGCCTTGAAAGCATTATGCATATAATGAACAAACAGACAGTGTTTGATCGGCACTCACAGAAAGAAGTAGAAACACTGAAAGACACACAAGACAACATAAAAATCGAAACCTAGTGCCCAGTTGGTCATGTTCTTAGTACACCTGTTTCCGTAGTGAGGCGCACAAGCCATTTCGAGATGACAGGTTAGATTCCCGGCACGGTAACTGTAGCTTTCGATATGTATGTTGTCTAGTGTGTCCTTTTATCTTTCTACTTCTTTCTATCCTTATAAAAGACATGAGAGACTCACAGACTAGATGTCGAAAGGTACTGACAGCAAGGCGTGACTAGGGGGACCAGATATCAGGAAAACTGAGGTTAACGTTGATGAGAGAAGGCAACTGTGCTGGATTGAAAAGACATTAAGATTTTGCTACAAAACCCAACCAACCATTAACAAGTCTAGACAGGGCGTGAGCTGGCTTATGCTTCACTGGGAGCAGACAGGCACATAATAATGGCTGTACCGACAGTGGCGAGGCGTGATCAATTTGCTTGTGTAAGCGATAGCAGGTAACGACTACACTGGAGAGGGTATCACGTGATATTTTCCTTCTCGTCACTTCGCTGCTAAGAAATATGTGGGCATATAGCTGTATAGTACTAGTAAATAGAAGCTTTTACTTGTTACAGTTTCTGGATGGTGTAAGCATGCAGCGAGCTTTGTTTTTGCTGTTTTCAAGTCGTTCGTTGACCGAGTGGCGCATTTGTAATAAATAGTCAAGAACAATTACTTGCTTTTGGCAATGAAAAACATGTACTTCTCGTCACTGGGTACCGATGTGTTGATACTGCTGCTGATAGATGAAGATGATGATGATGAGGGAGGCCGAGATGACCAGCATACATGAGAATGAGAAAACTACAAAACTACGACAACACGGTCGACTTACGAGAGAGAAACGATAGAAGACTGTCGAAAGAACAGAGAACGGACACGGTGTACATACCTCGTAGTATTCTTTGTTAGCTGCCATTTTAAGTGCGTTAATCCATTCTTCCATATCTCGGCGCGACTCAGCGCACACGATGATGTTGCGTGACGTTGTGATTAGCTAGATCAAAGAGACAAACACGTCCGTTAGTGAATGTCTGCTGATATAATCACTCAGATAAACTATAGTGGACGTTCGGTGATAGGTAGGAACGCTGATATAATCGCTGACATAAATAATACTGAATGTTTAGTAAAATGTGGGAATTGTGGTATAATTACTGATACAAATAATAGTGACTTCTGGTTAAATGTAGGAATAGTGATACAATTACTGATATAAATAACAGCGAACATCTGGTAATAGGTGGAAATGGTGATGTAATGGTTAATTGCGTATCCTTTACAAGACGTTGCAAAACCAACCCTAGTTGGTTTTTCTAGGCAAATTTACGTCTAGTAGTTTGCCATTGCTTTCTGGAAGGTCGGCTTTCTTGATACCACTGTCGAAACCAACGCATGGCGCAAGGAAAGGAAGACCCACCAGGAATGAAAGGACAGTGAGGTTTGGTTTTTAGGGACACAGATGAGGTTTTTGTTGTCGTGTGTACGATATGTGTAGCTAATAAAGTCAATGTCGACCACGTCGACGACTTCTACAATGTTAGAGTTAGTTAGTTAGTTAGTTAGTTAGTTAGTTAGTTAGTTAGTTAGTTAGTTAGTTAGTTAGTTAGTTAGTTAGTTAGTTAGTTAGTTAGTTAGTTAGTTAGTTAGTTAGTTAGTTAGTTAGTTAGGTTAAAATCATTGCACTCCGGACATGTCCATAGGTGCTCAGATCCTCCCCTCAGTATGAACCCCAACGTCCGATGGCTAATAGTACCAGTTCTATGTTGATTAACAAGTCTTCTGACGTGTCCGGTGTGCGTCTCGTTTTTTGCTATGCCGATTTTAATTCCCAAGTCTGCCATTCTGGCGAGTGATGTGGATTCACTGCCCCCAAAGTCCTCTATCCTTCCCATTTCTCTGAGGGCATTAATAATATCAGCATGATCCATAGGCTGACAGTCAGTAGTGATAGCAAATCCAGCTAACCTATCAGCTCTTTCATTTCCATCGACGCCTGCGTTTTCCGGAACAAAAATAAAGGTGACTCCACGCACAGTGGACTTCTGTAATGATTCGAGCCATTGTCTTCACACCGAACCTGCCTGAACTCTCATACTCATTGAATCACTGAGTATACATACGCTGGTGTAGTTTTGTGTTTCGGGCCAGGTGTTTTCCCAGTGACTCCGTTTAATACTCTGTTAAAAACAGTTCCGACAGCGGTGACAGAAAAAGGTATCTGACACATGCCCGTAAAAAAGAAGGGACTAGTGATGAATGGAGACTTCCTTAGTAAACTCAGGGTTAATTTATTAATATACTACCCCAGATAACGTCACAGGACAGTCCAACTTTTAGAGGGTGGTAAGACTGGGTTTCCCCGGTTTTCTAATGCCTTTAACGACCTCAAAACATATTCAATTCGCCCTAACCCCAACCCACCTACGTCTACGAGAGAGTACAGCCTAGGTCCCACGACTGAATGTAGCCTAGCTCCCACGACTGCATGCAGCCTATCTACCACCCCAAAAAATTAGACTGTCCCGTTACCTGTGGATTTTCCCTGTATTAATAAAGCACCAACTCAGGTCATCTATCATCATTTCTCTTGCTCTGCTTCTTCTACCAGTGACATTTTCAGTCGTGCTCCTTTTCTCATCATATGACCAAAGAACTTTGTCTCCTCCGTTTCATTTAATGTTCTACCTTCATTAGAAACTTCCAGGCAAACACTGTTAGTTGATCTAACAGTCCAAGGTATTGGAAACATTATTCTCAAAAACCACATCTCAGTTCCATCAAAACTCTTCTTAATTATCAAAGCACATAAGGTTGGAGAATAGGCCACAGAAAGAAACAATTTCAGGCATGTCGTGGGGAGAGCGACTTTCTGTGCACAGCCTGCTGATTGGTGGTAAAGAAGATCTTCAGTATGACAATCAAAAAGTGTTGAGTCAAGTCAGCTGCAGACCTTCGAAAACATCAGGGGTCGCAAGTCTGAGCTAACTGAAAACCTCTGGTGTACATTATTACCGAGACCGGCTCCTGCTGACGGGCCGTGCTGCTGACGGTTGGACTAACGATGTGGTAACGCAGCAGATCTCAGACAAGAAATAAACTATTTTCCACAGTGGCGAGGGAAGACAACTTAAATTTTAACTTTTAGTTATCTACATGCTTTCTTTAATAATTTCACAATTTTTAGCCGACTTTTATTTTTATTACTGCCGCGGCACCCCTGGCATAAGCTCACGGTACCACAGGGTGCCCCAGCACCCAGTTTAGGAACCGCTGCGTTAACACAGTACGGCCCGTCAGGTGGAGCCGGTCGTGGTATTACCGCCCGTGCACGCCAAGGTATACACGCAGACGGGAGTCATGCGGCCAGTGGGTGAGTAATCGTCTCAGTGTGTAAGTGCGCCCAGGTGCCGACAAGTGCACTGGGACAAATGTGCGGATATCAGGTGATTGCAGGTATCAACTGCAGGTGTAGTTCTGGCGGAAACCCAGAGACGATCCTATCGTTCTTTGTCAGAATACACCTGTGTGAGTCTGCAAGTTTTCTTCTGACTGCGTTTTCTTTTTGTGTTCTTTTCTCTTTTCCTTCTCTCTCTCTCTCTCTCTCTCTCTCTCTCTCTCTCTCTCTCGCTCTCTCTCTTTCTCCTCCGTCTCTCCCCCCCAACCTCTCTAGTCATCCACACACCCAAACACTAAAACAGCCAGCCAGTCAGGCACTCACCCATCCACACATCTTTCCATTCAGTATCCACTCATCAATCCATTCATTCTTGTTATCAACCCATCCATCTATCTACCCATCCATCCAAACACCTCGTCTTCCCTTCCTTCGTGCATGTATCCTCGCGTCCAGCCAGCCATCTCCTCATCAATATACATATCTCGTCCTTGCTCTCCTGCTTTCCATCCATCCATCCACCCATCCATCTATCCACCCACCCACCCACCCACCCACCCATCCATCCATCCATCCATCCACCCATCCATCTATCCACCCATCCATCCATCCATCCATCCATCCATCCATCCATCCATCCATCCATCCATCCATCCATCCATCCATCCATCCATCCACCCATCCATCCATACACAGGCATTCACCTTCTAATCTTCATACAAAACCACCCCTCTCCCTTCCCCTCCCAAATACCCGACACCACGAAATCATCACCTGTCCGTGGCATCACAAAGTCTCCCAGAAGGTAAGTGACTGTTTTTCTCAGGATGAATTCTCGGTGAAACCACGCAATCTGACATTTGCAGGTAGTTCAACCAAAGACATGTTCAAGTCTTGACGCCGCTGTGTGTCTCTTCTTGTAGTGCGTAACGTGTGTGCACGAGAGGCGCCGGACCAGGGGGAGGGGGGGGGAGGGTCACTTCAGGAACCCTAAATCCCTCCCCCCTTCCCTCCCGCAACATAATGTTACAGTGGCTGAGGGTCCCTCCCTGTGCTTTTTTTCAATGCAGAACATTTGCAACGAGGCTGAGTGCTCCCTTGACCCTGAATTGACGTTCTATTTTTAATGATTTCTTTATACATTTCTCATTATTTCCATAAAACATTATATTTATCTGCCAATCATGGCATTATTATAATTATTGTCATTATTACTATTATTATTGCACGCTTAAAAAAGCCCAAGCCCCTTTCAGGCTACGGCTCCCTATAAAAATATAGGAGAACTGCCCCGCCCACCCATTTTCTCTCCCCCCCCCCCAAACACAAAATTATCTGTGTCTGCGCCTCTCTGCCCCACGTGAGAAGAGGAAACTGGAGCAAGCGATGACTGACTGGCGTTTACCCACCAGTACAGCACACCCAGCGATAAACATCCGGTGACGCAAAGTGCCACCACTCGGATGAGGATCACCCGGGCACAAGTCCCAGAAACCATGTTCAACCCAGGTGGGGATTTAAAAGCAACAAAAATTACGTCTGCCAGTAGGGCGCGGTATAACACGCACACAAGATGTATAGACAGATTTGGGGGGGGGGGGCGAGAGGTGGAGAGAAAGAGGGAGAGAGAGAGAGAGAGAGAGAGAGAGAGAGAGAGAGAGAGAGAGAGAGAGAGAGAGAAGACAGGCAGAATACACATAAAAGAATGAGAGGCAGAGAAACCATAGAGGCATGAGTTCCAATACAAACAGAACGGAGAGAGAAAAGAGAAAGACGGAACTGATGAAAGATAGACACAGAGTAAAAGATACGGAGACGCGGGAAAGGCAAAGAGGCCAGAGACATGATAAGGGTGGGGGTGGTGTCAGGGACAGATAGATGGCGCGACTAAGAAATATTTTGTGGGGAAATGAATAAATAAATAAACAACATATGGATCTGCGCTTGTCCACCCACGCTTGTCTTTAAGCACACAGGGAACAACGCGCCCAAAGTATGTGCAAAAGCGGTAACTCAATATGTTCACATATTTACGACAATGGTGTGCGCAACTGAAAGCAGAAATAAAGCGCTAAAATATAAATCTACCGTAGGATAATAAATGGTTTAAAGTCGAGAGGATCGACTTCACTGAACAACATTTCATTCCATGTGGCTCGGTCTCTCTCCAAAGAGTAGTACAGCAGCACAAAGCACATATCCTGCAGCTACAGAGACGATGCATAGCGATGGCTGTAAAATGCACTAGTGAAGCAAACCCACGACGTTTAGAGTGCGAGACAAACAGCTTGGTCGCTCTGCCATGGAGACCCCCACAAGAGAATAAGTGGAAATTTACATTCACATAATGAGGGCATGAGTGAAGATCTATATTCACATAACGAGGGCGGGAGTGCCGATCTATATTCAAATAACGAGGGCGGGAGTGGCGATCTATATTCACATAACGAGGGCGGGGGTGGCGATCTATATTCACATAACGAGGGCGGGAGTGGCGATCTATATTCACATAACGAGGGCGGGAGTGGCGATCTATATTCACATAACGAGGGCGGGAGTGGAAATCTATATTCACATTAGGAAGACATAAGTGGCAATCT